ATCGCAAGGTGGCATGTGATTGACTGCCTAAAACCAGAGAGTTCTACAGTAATACAATGCTAAAACTGCTAGAACTAAACAGGTTATCAATGACGTCATTGCGGGTTTTCCCGATGCAGTTTTGCTAAGGTGTAGAGCGTGATGGGCCACAGAAACCTCCCACTTCTTGGCAATATTTTCCTATATGAAAGTCCCCCAAAATTTTGAAACAATAAATCCCAATAACTTTTCTATTTATCAATGGATTTTTAGAATTTAAAAACCACAGTTCTTAGAATTTACTCTTCTTCCATTTAACCCACTCAGTACCATAACGGCCGTAGCCGGCCGCTTCCGTTTCATAAACCTAGTACCATTACGGCCGTAACCGGCCGCGCGCTAGTAGCGTTGTTTCTTGGGAAGTGTACACACTTGGTAGCCATCGTATTTAACCCGCATTTCGACCAATCAGAAAATAGATAATCATTCTCTCCTTGAGAGAAGCAGGGACATAACTCTGGAAATTTTAGTTGGACTAAATTCAATGTAAACAAACCAGTTCACACGGGTCGCGCAAGCTAAGATCGAGCGTTCTTCGCAAGCCGCCGGCATCGCGTTCAGACTGATTTAGGCGAACTTTTGGATAATTTTAATGAAAATAACTGTGCTGGGGGAGAAAACCCACAGAATGGTAGCAATTTAAGTGAAAGTGACATTAATGGTGATCTAATTGTGCCTTTGGGGGGTGGTTCGGACAATGAGAATGAGGTCAATGAGGAGCGTATGACTAGATCTAGATCTACAACTCGGCTGATTTTATCTTCAATTATGAAATACAGTCAACACACACAGTAAACAAGTAATTTATAAATTAGAAATTATTCATTTGTGAAGAACTTGTTTCAAGATTTTTTTAAATCAATGGATTGGTTATTTTATAATGATTTTTAAAAAATACCCACTACATCACAAACACGGATTTATTCCCCTTTGCGTGGTCCTGGGCCATCTTCCCACTGGAAATCCAGTGGTACTGAGTGGGTTAAGCTGGGAAAAAATTTAATTTTTCATTGTCATTGCTAATATTTATTTTTTGTTCTTTGTCATTTTCCCATTTTTTTAAAAGTCACAAACACACTCATGTATATGTGGGTCAAAATATTGATAACAGTCCCCAATTAAGTATGCAGCCAGTGGTAATATAGCCTACTACAGATTTTCTAGGTCAACTACAGATTTTTTGGACAAAAATTTGTGTCAACTACAGATTTTGGTCCAGGCAATGTTGGCAGGTGTGGGGTCAGGGTTGCCTGGTTACAGAGGGAAAATTATCGAGAAAATGGCTGCCAAAGTTTGGTAACTCCCATAGCCTAAGAGTCCTTGGAAATTAAAAATTTACGTGTTTTTTTTGCTTTAGTGCCTCATGTCAATGTTTTTCAGTGTATCCACACAGGAACGTGTTTGTAAATGGACGTAAAATGTGTGGAGCCAAAAAAAAAAAAGAAAATGAGACCAAAATTACCCATCAGCCTAAAAGATGCCGATTTCTTTGATTTCATTATTTTGACGAGCGCCTAATTTCACCACCTCGATGCCTGACAAATTTTCCTGGAGAAAATCAGTAACGAAAAAAATTCTTTTTCAACCTTTAGGACTACTTCACCAACGACCAGTACCAGGAGCTGGAGGATCCGAACTCCCTGAGCTACAGCACGCGCAGCGAGAACTCTATCTTCTTCGAGGTGGACGGGCCCTACCTGGCCATGATCCTGCCTGCCTCCAAGGAGGAGGGCAAGAAGCTGAAGAAAAGATACGCCGTTTTCAACTTCGACGGATCTCTGGCCGAGCTCAAAGTGAGAGGAGATGGCTGGGCTTGTTTGTTTCTGGAACATTGTTTAGCATTATAATTGTTATTTGTATTACTATTGTTATTATTTTTCTGTTTTTTCTTGTTATTCAATTTATATTTTTGAATTATATTAGAAGAACGGCCATATTATTGTCATTGACAATTTTTTTATTTCATATCTAATTATTGTATCATTATTGAAGTTGTTTTTATTATTGTTATGTAAAAAAATTGTATTAAGAGTAATTCTATAATGTTGTTATTACTATTATTATTACTATCAATATTATTATTATTTTCATTAGTAGGACTAGTTGTAGTATTGTTTCTGTTATCATTTCTATTTTGTCACTTTGGTGGGTTTTTTTATTGTTATGATTATTTTGTTAATGCTGGTTGGTATATTTTTAATCATTATTGCTATTATATTTATTAATGGTTATATATATTTATATACATGTTTATTTGTATGATATACATATTCAAATTTAGTTTGTCGTTCCAGGGTTTTGAAGTGAAGCGTCGCGGGGAGCTACAGCTGATCAAGATTTTCCAGTCGTCGGTGTTTGAAGCTTTCCTCAAGGGCAACAGTCTGGAGGAGTGCTACGCAGCCGTGGCCAAAGTGGCTGACTATTGGCTGGACGTGTTGTATAGCAAGGTTGTGTGTGTGGG